ACCAAGTCGCGAAGCGGTAAATCTCGTTAAACCAGACTCCACCATAGCGATGAAGATGTGATAGAGAGAGGTGGAGTTGTCTCTGTGGAAAGGGGACACCAGCCACATCCATGGCGTCTGATACAATAAGGTGTGATACCACTGACAAACGCTAACTCTTCTTGCCGTACCCACACCATCAAAAGGTGGTCCTAGTTGTTGTTGCCAACGGAGCACCGCACCACCATGCATGGGCAACCACCAAGGGACCGCCAGTTGTTACTTGAGGGATTTTCATCATTGAAGGGTAGCCATCCCGTTCAATTGCAAGATTGCAACTGTTACCAGCCTCACGCTAATTGTACCGAGTTGCGCTAACTCTTTGTTGTTTCTGGGAGCCAGTGAGATATATATGTAGCAGATCTGGTCCTTTGTCCATCGTTGGGAGCTGTGTAAATGTAATATAATCAACTCGTTGTTCATTGATGGGAACCAGTGATAAAGATATCTAGGAGTGGATGTTTGGCCCATTGTCCATCGCTGGGAGCTATAAAGATCAACCTATTGTCCTTTGATGGGAGCCATGTAGCAAAATAGGCTCTTTGTCCATTGTTGGGAGCCGCGAGATACAATAGAGAACATCATTGTAGAGGACATGGCTGTTAAGAAGCGCCCAGCCATGTCGCCGAAATAGGCTTAGCCATGTCTGGCCATGTGTGTGGAGATAGATGTTGGAGTGAGTCACACTCCGTGATATTTCCAACAAAGCGAATAAGTGCCTTCTCTTTGGCAATGTTGATTCCACAATAGCAATTAGTAGAAAATTGGAATCACACTTCAGATGTGGAAAGATAAGTATTGTGGTCCTTTGTTGATGTGGACCCGCACATGTCATTAGTTACACAGCCATGCAAATTCATCCCTTAACACAAGGTATGTCCCAAAGACAACTATCTTATACCCAACATTGATGAACTAGTTGGTAATTCCTCTGGTTATGTGGTTTTGAGCTAATGTGATGCATAATCTAAGTAAAACCAAATTCTTATGGCAAAGGAAGATAAGGATAAAATGACTTTAATTGTAGCAAGCAATACTTATTATCATGTTGTCATGCCCCTTGGTCTAAAAAACAAAGTAGTCAATACCGTACCGGCATGCATACCGGTTTTGTTACTAGAACGATACGTACCGGATGCAGGAATTTTTCGCGTACCGTTTTAGATTTATCGCTATAAATATATATTTTTATAAATTAAATATCAAATTTTAAAATAAAATAAGAGATATTAATATTTAAAATTATTATATTCTTATAAATTAAAAATAAGTTTAAAATGATAATTTTTAATCCCTTAACTTTTAATATATACACATTTTTTGTCCATCCATTTTAAATTAAGGGATTAAAAATGTGTGTATTTAGAAAAATTTAACGGAGTAATTAATAGAAGGACTAAAAAAAATATGAAGAATGGACTAAAAAAGTATATAAAAAATTAAAGGATAAAAATTATATAAAATATTAAAGTTAAGGACTAAAAATGAAATTTGCTCTTTTAAAATTTGAATTGATTTGAATTGTAGCGGGCAACTGTACCAAAAAATGGATGATTGACAAGGCAAGACAGCTGGATGTGAGAACAGAGGATTTGCGCGATCGAAATTGCAGGGCTGGCCAAAACGATGTCGTTTTGGCTAGGAAATCTTTTTTTTTTTTTTATTCTTGCATATTGTACCAGTTAAATTTCGGTGTACCGGCCGGTATGTCGAAATTTTAGCCGGTACACCAAAATTTAATCGAAATCATTGGATTGACCGAAACGAAATTTATTCTTACTCTGTTTTGGTCTTCTCTAAAAATCGGTACGTATCGGCCATACCGGCAATACGGTACAATATTTACTTCTTTGCTAAAAAATGCAGGAACCACCTATCAAAGGTTTGTTAATAAGATATTTGTATATTTAAAAGGTAAATGTGCTGAAGTTTATGTAGATGATATTTTGGTGAAAAGCAAAAGCTTAGACCAACACATTGAAGACCTAAAACAAGTCTTTGCAATACTTAAAACTCATAGCATGAAGTGGAATCCTATTAAATGAACTTTGGCTTAAGGCTAGGGAATTCTTAAGATTCATATTGACAGGCAAAGGCATTAAAGCCAATCTAGATAAGATTTGCACAATGTTAGAGATGAAACCTCTATCCTTAATAAAGGAAGTTTAAAAGCTAATGGGAAAGGTAGTTGCATTGAACAAGTTCGTATCAAAATCTACAGAACAATGCCTAGCTATTTTTCAAACCTTGCATGATAGAAAAAATTTTAAGTGGACCTTTGATTGTTAAAGAGCATTTGATCAATTGAAAGCATACTTATCATCATCTCAACTATTAATAAGGCAATCCTAGGTGAGAAATTGTACCTATATATTGCTGCAAGCACAAAGGTAATTAGCACTACGTTGATTAAGGAAGATGGAAACAAGCAGGATCCTATGTATTTTGTAAACAAATTGTTGCAAGGGACTAAGACAAGATACAAGCCTTTTAAAAAGTTGGTCTCTGTCGTAGTTATCTCAACTAGATGTCTCAGGTATTATTTCCTTGGTCATAGAATAATTGTTTTAACTAATTATCCATTACGTCAGATCTTGTGGAAACCAAATTTGGCAAGTAGACATGTCAAGTGGAATATCAAGCTCACAAAGTTTGAATTAGAGTTTTGGCCATGGAGAGTAATGAAGGCACAAGTGCTGATAGATTTCATAGTAAGGCTAAGTAAGGAGGAGAAGGCTATAATGTAGGCACTAGCTATAGATGTAACATCTAAGAGGAAAGCTCCAAAGTAGAAGAAACCAACAAAAGTCCTACCCCCTAACATTGTGTGGAACCTGTGTGTTGATGGGTCTTCTAATGTGGTAAGAAGTGGAGCAAAAATAGTCTTAATTTTTTTGAAGGGAGAAACTTTTAAGTGTGCATTGAAGTTTAGTTTTGAGGCATCAAACAACCATACAAAGTATAAAGCACTCAGGGGATTGAGAATTGCCAAGGCAGTAGGAGTAGAGTACTTAGTGATTCATAACTTATGATGAATCAAGTCAGTGGTGACTTCATTGTAATAGATTATGTAATGGCTCAATATTTGTCTTTGACTATGCAATTTTTACAATCCTTCTAGGGATCTAAGTTGAGCCAAGTAAAAGGATAAAGAACCTTTAAGTGGATGCCTTGGCAAAGCTGGCAAGCACAAGGTTAGGCACGTCAGGAGCAGAAGTGTACATAGAGACACTTCCTTCACCTAATATAATGATGAAAAATACTTTGTCAACACAAGAGGAGCAAAGCTAGGTGGATCCAATCCTCACTTTCCTTAAAAACGGAATCCTACCAGAAGATAAAAAAGAAGCTAAAAGGTTGTAGAGGAAGGTTGTTTGGTACACAATCCTCGATAGGCAACTTTATTGTAGGTCTTAGACACATCCATTATTAAAATGCTTGGGACCCATAGAGGTACAGATGATGTTGGAAAAGGTGCACAAGGACTTTGCTTTGGCCATATGGTGATGGATTCTCTAACACAAAGTCTTCTGCCAAGGCTACTTTTGGCCTATGCTAAAAGCTGGTGTCAGGGCATATGTCAAGAAGTGTGATAATTGTCAAAAGTTTGCCCATGTTCAGCATCAACCTGCTAACCCTTTACATATGATAGTTGCCTTATGGCCTTTTGCTCAACAGGGGGATAAACATCCTTGGTCATTTCCCTAAGGCTAAAGGAAGAAAGAAGTTCTTTATTATGGTCATAGACTATTTTACTAAGTGGATTGAGATAGAAATAATAGCTCGAACAACAGAACAAAAGGTAGAAGAGTTCATTAAAAAAACACATTTTGTGCCAATTTGGTATACCAAGAATTCTAGTTACAGATAATGGAACGCAATTTGCAAGTGAAGCCTTTGAAGATTTCTACTAGACAAAAAAAAATAGAGAGGAAGTTTTTGATTAGAGCACCATTAGAGACAGAAGGTTTGAGTTTGGAACAAATTAAGAAAAGGTTTGCTTTCGTAGCTTATCTAAAGTCTAATGGGCAAGTAAAGGCCACAAATAAGGCAATCTTGGAAAGTTTAAAGAAGGTAGGATCTGCAAAAAGAACTTAGACAAAGGAGTTACCATATACTTTATGGGCATATAAAACAACACACAAGACTCTAATAAGAAAAGCTCTGTTCAACCTAGCATACGGCTCAGAAGTTGTGGTGCTAGTTGAAGTTAAGATGCCATATTACAGAATGAGCTACTTTAATGTAGACTCCAATAAACAAGCTTAAAAGGAATGTAGACTCCAATAAACAAGCTTAAAAGGAGAATCTAAATCTTTTGGAAAAAAACCAAGGATTTGTCCCAAAGTGCACAAAAAAAAAAAATAATAAATAACTTTAGCCACTCTCTTTTAACCTAAAAACTAAAAATAATTTAATTTTACATTTTCTAATATTATATACCTTCTTTGTTTATTTTTAATAAACTTAATTTAATTTTTTAAGTTTTAAGACATGAATTTTAAATAAAAATTGAA